TGTCAGCATTTCACTGGAGCATTGCTTGCCTGCACCTGCAGACACATTACAACACTTTCTACTGATACAAACTAACAGAAAGCTTCTGCACAATCAGTGATACAATTTGAAATTAAAATCAACTAAAAATCACATCCTCATCTACTTGTTAGTACTATTTTTGATGAAGAATACGTCTATTTTTTTGCACGGTATAGTAAAAAAATGCAGTTTATACTTACAGGTGCACTAAGGTTTTCAGTCCACGGAAAGCATTTGGTGAAATCGACTTTATTTGGTTGTTTTCGATGAACCTGAAAAAGGTGTTTAATAAATGCACAAGAAGTGAGAGACTGTGGTCTTTTAGACAGCTTCCAAGATAAATTTGCGTTATCTACTCACAGATACTCCAGATGAGGAAGACCAAGGAAAGCATCCTCGTTTATAGATTCCAGGTTGTTGGCTGTGAAGAGACTGTGTAGAGAGATCCATATTATATACGCCCTATATAATAACAAGCTGTTGTCCCACCTTAGCAGAAAATGGACCTGTGGTAGCTGGGTTACTGTTAAGAAGAAAGGTGAGGACCTTTCTTCTTAACAGTAACCCAGCTACATCAAAGACAAGGATCAATGCTCTATTAGGATACCTGCAGTCTTACATGTTTGTTTTGATTCAGTCAATACTTCACCCCATGAGACCAGAGTCAGGGGATTCCCTCTTCAAAAGGAGGGATTCCCCTTAAGTAAAGCTAATTCTGGAACCAGGTCTGGCTCACAATAGATGCATTTTAAGCTTTGGATGAATGCCCAGAGTGATTATTGTTTGAGCTCCCTATTCCGACCAATAGACTACAACAAGTCTGTTATAATGTGCAGTGTCAGCGGATCTTGAACATTAAACATGGCGTTGACCACCTCACTGGGGACTGACAGCATGCAATAAAGACTGAAGAACGAAAAGCTCCAGAGATTTCTCACAGGAGATGCAGGGCAGGCGTGTGGATGAAGATCTCTTTCGGGATTTCAGTGAATTCAGACTTGACGAATGATCTGTGGAGGAGGGGTGGACACGACAGACAGACACACTGATTAGCTTTAAAGCATAGACTGTCTCATACGGACAGTTATAGTCTGTTCCTTGGATATACATGACAGTGCAGCAGAAAAAGCCCACACGTCTTAATCAGCAGATAGGCTGGAGACACATATTACATTTGTAAAGCTCTGCAATGGAAAGCACTGGTGAGGAATTCATTATAAAACAACAGTAAATATGACTTACAGTGATATGACATCGGGGGGAAAGCTGCGAGGGATCAGTCCTGCGCTTTCGCACAGCGCGTTATCTTTGGTACATGTACATGATGGGGGACAGCGAGGCTGCCTGGGTTTCTTGCTGTCCACTACAAGTAAAACAGACGCCACTAAAAGTAAGCCGAGCCAGGGCGATCTTTTGGGCGTCTTGCGTGTATTTTCCATCCTTGCGAACGGCTGCGGGCACGACCTGCGCGTCGAACAGCCCTGCACATGAACCAGGGTCTCGGCTACGTTTCCTTTTCCACTGCTGTTTCTGCTGCTGCCTGGAGGCCAAGCGACGCGCTGCCCGCTCCTGTTTATCTCCGCAAAGTGCCGTGCGCCGTGCGCCGCCGCCGCCGCTCTGGAGGTGATTAAGCCGGGCGCCACGTACGTCCACAGCGCTGTAATTAACCTATGCTACACCCCCGGAAGAAAAACCAATATCCCCTGTGACAAAAACAAAAGTCTAATCAAATTCGCGGTGTAGTGGCTCGAGCACAGGAAAATAGCCTACCAGCTGGCGCGGTGACAAACGCGGTGTGACGGCAGGTGGGGCTCCCAGCGGGAGCAGACGGATCTTCTCCATCCAAAACCACGCCTATGATTTCAGCAAACGCCACACTCTCCGTGTCAAGCTGCCGGAGATTCCGCCCAATAGCCTAGGCAGAGGAATTGTGTAATTTTTCGTGAATCAGCCGGAGAAAATGAAACCCCGACATGAGCCTGCGGGCTGCTGCCTATGGCGCAGACGCACACGGGACTTCTATGCGGAAAGCGGGCTGGAGACGAGATGAAATAAATTGTCATCATGGAAAATAGTTGTAATTTTGGCTCTGTGGGTTCCACTAGACTGCCAAATGCTGCCTTTGAATAGCGTATATCATTAACTATAACTTTGTGCTTTTTCACATATGTTTGCGCATTTTGGGTTTCTTTCCTGGTTTGCGCGCGGTTTCCATGGCGACTGTGGATGCAAAATGTGGCTGGCCTGTGAAGGAGGGGTGTAGGGAAGCCCTCCTGTCATCCTGACATCTGTTCTTGCCTCGGTCAAATGAACCCCATCCCCCTCAAACCTCTCACAGACAAAAGGCAGGTCTTTGCTCCCATTATCAGTGACATGACGTTTTCAACTTAGAAAAAGCCACAAAGCCTGCTATCTTTCTGTTTTTTTGCTGTAACACATTGCCCTTACAGTTTTAATACAAAGTTCTCTTCTGCTTTGCCAGACATGACATGTGAGCCCTATAAGGACTTCTTCTTCTTCTCATTTCATTTCTCAGATCCCTCCAGAGTTATAAGATTAATATGTTTACTCACTGTGCCTGGCAGGGCTGCTTGTGCCAGACTTTTCTGGGGAGAAACATGTGCAGGGGTTTTTAAAAGGTCTCTGAATAAATACGCGCTGACCTGAACCTCCACTCTCGCTGTCCCCTGTCTGTTTACTATGATACAATCTTTCCTGTAAAAATGAAAGCCGACATTTGGAGGAGCAGGGTCATGCTCTGGGAGCCTGTTTCATGATATGTTGCTTTACTGTTTTAGAGGGAAAACTAGAGGAAAAAAGCTATTAACAGTGAGGGAGACACTCTAAAGGAGACTGCTTACATCTGAGAGGAAATGCACAGAGGGGAATTGTGGACATGGAGAAGCTGGAAGTGACAGAAAGTAACTGATGTCTTTTTTCATAATCCACTTTTACACAAAATGGAGAACACTGGATATTATTGTTGTGCTGCAAGATGATGCGTAGTTTCTGTGCTTCACAAATGCCATCATTCATTACCAGAATAGAACACACACTGTCCAGCAAGTATTTGACCACAGCAATGTCGACAGCTATTGATACGCCTGAGTTGTGTTGACTGTTAGTGGACTTTTAGGATCTGTATTTGTTTATCAAAAATAATGTAACAGTTTGTCTAATATGACTATATATTAAGATGCATAACCTCACTAACACATTTCTATAGTTAAAGAAAGAGACTTTTAGCATGAAAAACACATTTTCAAAGCAAATATTAGATTTTTTTCTTGTTGTGTCAAAACAGCCAATCTGCCAGAATGTCTATCCTGATCGACTGTCCTCCCCACTAGAGGGAAATGTGGAGCTAAGCTAGAGCCCTGCCAGAGGCAGATTTATTTGTGAGCTATCTATCTCTGCTCTTTAAAATTCTGTTTGGATTTCCACCAGAAGAGGATAGCTTTTGCTGAGAGCATTATTGTTTTATTTTTGGTTAGGTGAAAAATATGAATCTACAATTCATGCCCACAGTGGTGGCTAAAACGTTTTTGCTTTGTCTGAAAAACCATATTCATATTATGGTACAAAACAGAGGACTCATGCTCCACCTTCTTCATCCACCAGTGACAGCAGAACATTCAGTGAACATACTTTTGTTTTGCTGTTTGACCTGGACCTGTATTCTGTCTTAAGGTATCTTGTCAGTCGACAAAGCTGGCTTACACGACTGACAGGCTTTTGTAACTGAGATGCTCTCTCATTCCGAATGAACTGTAAGGTTTGTGAGCCACCTGTCAGTCACCTGCACCTTCAGCCAACCAATGAAGGGGATGATCACTTATGGCAGTGACACAAGAAAACACATTTTCTGAAATGCATATAATTATATAATAATTATCTGCCACACTGTGCAGAAAAAGATGCTTCTCTTGGCAGAACAATATCTGAAAGTAAGTCAAAGTGTCATTTTAATCTCCATTTAAAACCGTAACAACTAAATAAATGGAAGTTGCGTTTTGGTGGAGGTACAGAAAATATTTAAAAGTTTGATCCTTTGCTTTATGATGTAGCAGCCAATTATGGATCACAAACGTAATTCCATTTGCCTTGATTATATGATGCTGAATCATGTTTTCCCATTCAATCAATTAAAGTATATAGAAGAAGTCTTTGTTGAAGTATTGTCTGCACAGTTGTGTTCACCATGCATTTACATTCATTATTATTGCTCAATTGCATTCTTGACAATTTAAAAATTATTGTAATCTTGCACTCATTAATTCTATAGACTTAATGTCATCCAGTCAAATCACAGATGGGTTTACTCTGTAAACCGCAGCAAGTAAGGGTATGTACTCTTTGTTTGTGATATCAAAGTTAATGAAGGGATACAAAACCTGGCTTGTAACATGCATATTCATGCTCATAAATATATATATATTTATATATTAATTGTAATAGCCTTTCTTGTCTTCTGACCACTCAAAGTGCTTTACACTACATGTCACATTCACACACATTCATACACTGGTGACAGTGGCTCCCAAGCAAGGTGCCAACTGCTCAACAGAAACTAATAAATTCACACACACTGACAGCACAGCCATCAGGAGCAATTTAGGGTTCAATATCCTGCCCGAGTACACCTTGACATGCAGACATGAGCCGGAAATCAAACCGCCGACATTCTGATTACTGGGCAACCCGCTCTACCTCCTAAGCCACAGCCACACAGAGGCATGTTGGTCAGGGATGGAATCAGTGAGGCTGCAAATCACCAACAGGAAACTTTTTCTACTCAGCAGGTGCTGCAGCTGATATACTTTGGTATTACATCAATGCTGCAGCTGAAATGAAGCACAAAATGCTAAATTTGTCAAATTGCGACTGCTCTTGTTCCAGTTTTTGGACTTGCAGAATGGCTAAAATGCACTTTAAATGCATAAAGCAGGCACGATTTGAAAATAAACTTTATTGACATTTTTCATGTATTATACATGATGCTATTGCACATATAATTATGTATTTAATGCTATATAGCATGAAAAAAAATCTTACATTCGCCAAAGTTTTTATGTAACAACAACAAACACTTCATGCATCAGAGAAGAAAGTTAAAAGCTGACATTGTTCTGCTATGTGCTACCCATGTCACAAGCTGTTTTGAGAAATTTGCGAGACCTGATTTGGAAAAATAAACCATAGCATTTCCACTTCACATCATATCTTAATGTGTTGTTTCTCACTCAGATAATGTAATTTCTCCTGTCCATGGTGGATTTGACACAGTGTCCACATGAAACCTTTGTGTCCTGGAAATGCCACATGTACTCTGACTTATGAGCAGAGCAGCAGTATTTTTACTTTATGTAACCAGGGGACTTAAAAATGAAAGCCCAGGGGCTCAAGGTGGCTTATTACTAAATCCAATTCAGTCAAATCTTCTTACATCTCTCACCCATTTGCCAGGGACATATGTTGGAAATTTTTAAAGCACAACTCCCAACTAGTAAATGTGGTTTTCTCATCAAGATAAGATAATTTTATTGTAGAACCTATTCTAAAAATATTCAGATATAACAGTTCAAACAGCCACATATTTGTGGCCTAATATTTCTATTCAAATTATGTCAAAAGCCAAAGATTATGCATTCAGTGTTAAAAATAAAATACACATATGTACTCTTCTTAATAATTCTTAAATAATAAAATTTTAATTATTTTACCATACAAGAATAAAGTTAAATCTATGTTTTCAAAGTATCAAATACAACCTGTATGTCCCTGTAAGACAGGTGACAATTAAAATAGCTTTCTGTATGAGAGGATAGAAGAACTAAACAGTATATAAAAACAATAATTCAGTGATTTTTGCATGTTAGAATTCATCTGTGAACACATGCTCATGCACATTCACACGCTGCACAAACACACATCCAGACAAACATTCAAACATTCATAAATGCCGTCAGTCCTGGAGGTCTAGCAGATAACACATGTCTTTGACTTCCCGCCATCTTGATCTTTAAAAGGAGCAAAGGCGAAAGACAGAGAGAGTCAGGTGACAAAGCAAACGCGCAGAACGAGCAGAAGGCATGTGGTGACGCTCTGGATTTTAAACATCAGTGCTCACCTTGTCCACCTTCCAGAATTTTCTTCTGGTCTTCAATGGCTTTCATCTTGGCCTCGTGGACGTCTGCCAGTGCTCTCCACTCCCCCCTGTTGATATTCATCCCATCAAACATGGGGGTGATCTCTGTGTGAAAGCGAGAAAACTCCTGCAAACACGCAGATAACTCAATGTAAATGCAGATGCATAGATGCAGAAAATAAGGAAAAGAGGGAAAAAAGTGCAAAGGCTGCATGAAAACATTATTGGATAAACATTATATATATAAATCATGTTTGTATCTATAAATAATAAATAATGTTTTAGAGATGTTTATCTAGGTACCTTGTACACAAAGGAGCAGACAAAGTCGATGAAACCACACTGCATCTTTGGCAGCTCATCAGCATGATTTCTGTCCATCATCGGCTACAGAAAAAGAAACCAAAAATTATGATTATTGTTATGAAAACATATACAGTATGAGCACCATACCAAAAAATATTGTTTAAAGCTCTTACAATAGGCTGCTGATCAAGGACTGTCTTTTCGAGGTCTCCCTGCTCCCAAAATTCTGCTGCCACCATTAGAGCGACCTAGGACCACAAGAACCAAGAGATTGATAACAACAAATGGGCGAATTATGCTTTCGAATTATGTTACAAGTCTAGAGTCGGGAACACACCTTGCTCTGCATCTCCCATGGCTTTGTAATGGCTGAAAGGTCACAAGCTGTCATCATCATTGCCCTGCATAAAATACAACCTCATTTTTGAATGACAGCAAGAGCACCAACACAAGACAACCTAAAGAAATGTTCACGTGACAAAAGTATTTAAGTGGCCCGATAAACTATGCATTTACATAATAATTTCCTTCCTAGTTGGATTGTTGGAGATGTAGTTGATCTTCTCTTTCTCCTCTGGAATCCCTTCCATAGCGTCCACAATTTTTTGGAACATTGTTCTCTTCCTGAAAGATGAGAAAGCTGTCAGATCTTTTCAAAAGTCCTTGAAAACCATTAATTGGTATTAAAATTAAAATTTCAAGTATTGTTGGATGCAGGACCAACAGTTAATATAAGCTTAGATGGAACAAAACTCCTTACTTAAAGTAGAGGGCGAGATCAGTGGCAATGATGCAAACTTCAAACAGATGCTGCACCGTCTCAAACTGACGCTTCTGAAGATTTTGGAAGATATTCAGGTTCTGTGAATGACAGAAGAAGAATGAAGTTAGGCAGCAACTGAAATCTCAGTGAATCCCTAACAAACAAATCTAGCTAGTATTAAAAACATTTGCAAATAGTTTACAACTATTGATAAAAACATACAGAAAATGCAAACATATAAGGACCGCACCTCATCCTCCATCAGTGTCTTACTGTACTCAAGATGATGTCGCTCCATGATTGAGGAGCTGTGCAGTTTTGCCAGAGGGGATAAACTCCTACAAAAGTCCACCAGAACCAGAACATATGAGTCTCACATATTTGTCATGTTGTTTTCAATTTTGCACCTACTGAAACCAACTGATGAATCAACTTGTCAGTAATGTCACCTGACCACCAAATATCTTACTTTGTCTGGTAGAGATTGTTGGTTCCTCGGTGGTCAATATCGTGGCAGAATCCAGCAGCAACCATTGCAAAGGCCTCGAGATCCGAGTAATACTTCTTCAGTTTGCCTGTCTGTTGAAGAATAGAGAAGACAACCCTGTGTTATAACAAACAGTAGAGCAAGTAATTCCCCACCCCCACCAGAGAAATGTTAGAATTAGAAATCACACTCACTAGCAGCAGAGAGAACATGGTTTGTCCAACATTGAAGCCGTGCCTCCAGTTGTGGTAGGTGATGTCACGGTATCCATTGCGAACGGTGTACATCCATCGTGTCAGGATCTGCACGACAGAAGGTTGAAAAAAATAAAAATAAAACAGAGCTGCAATGAATATTTTGCATCATTGCCTCAAAGACTCAGATCACATAAACTTCTTTTAAAGTTATTTAGCAACTTGTATCAGCCATGCCTTGCAAAGTATACAAATGATAATAATATTGTTGAGTGTTTCAGATGTAGTGTGCTGCCCCAAACAGACAGGGCTGAGTGTAGTGAACACAAGCAAGTTTCCTGACGACTTTGACGATGTTTACTGTACCTCAGCTGGGACTTTGAACTTCTCTACCACCCCCAGCTCAAAGAAGCAGCGGATACCACACTTGATGAGCTCAAACTCTGACAAAAGGAAGTCACTGAAGCGGAACTCGTGCAGCTCCACGGCCTTGGCCTCTGGGATGTTGGCTCTCTGCACATTTGGAAACACAGTGCAAGCAGTCATGGCATACCAAACAAACTGAGTTTATGAGGAGCACTGCTGTCTAAAAAACTCCACACATCGCTGACATGTCGCAGTGCTTACCAACAGTTTGTACACTTCCTTCTGGTCGCAGTCTTCTGGTACAGAGCCAAAGCTGTCTTGAGTGTTCTGCGGGGAAAAAGAAAGTCAAATGGGAGCTCAATCCAGTGAAGGAATATCAGTCAAGTGGTGGAGTAGCTTACCAGGATGGTCTGCACGTCATCCAGTGTGGCCTTTGTGTGGTACATGAGCATTTCCTGGTAAACATCTTTGCTCCACTCAGTCCTGTTCACTTTGTCGTATGTGTCGCTATTCAGAGTGGCCCAGCCAAGGAACTGAGTTAGTGCCTGGTGACATGGACAAATATACAACAATCAATTTAATTCTGTAATTTCAACTATTACCTCATTCTTTCATAGATGTTATTCCGTATAGATAAGCCAAATAAAAAATACGTATGTAATAAACACAAATATTTTACTGTTAATCTTTTACTTAATAGAAATGACTTTAAAGTACTATGCAAATGTATTATAACAGTATTAAAAAATTATTGGTCCGAGGCTTAAACAGTAAAACAAGCTAAAAAATACTTTCAAGTACTTCTATAATCTGTTCATCATTCTCGTCGAATGGTTTCCCATCTTTTCTGTTGAAGAAAGTGGCAACACTGACAATTTCTTCCTTTTTGTTGACGATAGGGAGGGAGAGGACATTCTTAATCTTCCATCCAGTCTCATCCACCGCTTCTTTCTGTCAAATGAATCAAATATAAAATCCAGATTATTACTGTAGATTTAAGTGAACGGTTGGGTTGTAGGGAAAAAAAAGAAATTAATTGAATGCCAGTTGTCAGTGAAGAGTGTCTCACCTGAAAAGCAAAATACTCATCTGCTGAAGCGTTCATCATGTTGCAGATCTAGGAGAAGTAAAAAAGTTATTACACGTGTGTTTGGCTATCAGCGGATCAGTGACAGCAGTTATTGAACTACTTTAGGTGTGTGGGTCTCAATAATAAAAATTAACAAAGGTGGAACTTACAAATCCATTCTCGGCTACATATGCTGGGAGTCCGCTGACTAGAGCCCAGTGGTCAGCAGGAGGGCCGCTGGGAGTTCAGAGAGGATGAGTAACTGCACATCTTCTTATTCGACTACCAGTTAAAGCTAAAAATATGCAAATAAAGCTTCATAATCAGGCCAGTTGATGTGCTACAGCACATCATGATACTTACGGGATGACTTTAATCTCCTCTTTGTCTTCCAGCAGGTAGTCAATAATCTTGTAGAAGTTGATTTCCTGAATGTTTTAAACATACAGTCGTTGTTGTTTATTTGTAGTTTTTTATTTCATTTCATTTAAGTTTTTCAAATTGGTTGATGAGAAGAATGGTACAATAATAAACCCAAGGTTGGACTTACTCTGCCATCAGGTGTCTTGGGGCCTTTGTATGGCTCCTGCTCTCCTAGTTTGATTGACCACTCATCGTAGAATTCCTGGTGAAGAAAATAATTAAAAATTAATAAATATAAAAACTCAAGTGCTGCAGTATGCAGCAGCAGATATGATATAATATATAACAAAATCTAATTGTTAGCAGTGTAAGTAAATAAACCTAAAGTTGAAGCTTTTGTCAGACTTTCTTCTATGCACCTTTTCTTTGGTCATGTCGAGGAGTCCCACAGAGTATCTCTCACACTTGATATATGTCCTCACTGTGTATAAAGCTTTGTGAAACTGCCTCTCAATATCCGTCAACTCTTCAAAAACTTTGCTGGCTGACCACAGCAACACCTATAGCAAGGAAAAGAACCGCTGCTTATGACTTTAATAGAAGCTTTTGATTCTTGTCTTGATAGATTTATTCTTTTTAGTGAAATAATTAGGAAAGCAGTCAAATATTTTCCATGTCTTGAAAACCAGACTGGACAAGTGGATTTATTACAAGTATTTTTTTACCTGGCTTCTCCTGGACTCTACATCCCACATGTAAGAGGTGTGAGCTTGGAGAGTGACCACCATAGCAAAGTTGACATATTTATTGAAGAGCTGTAATGAAACAGCAAAGAATCAAACTTCTTTATGAATCACATTAACGTGTCCCATTTCCCTTTCAGTTCAATGACAACAGACGACAGTCTCTGTCTCTGACAGATCTTCCCTTGGATTACCTCTAGAGTCACAAAGAGCCCACGAAACAAGACAAGAAAAATGTGTGAGCCTCCCCTCCCTAAAAGGATTATAAGTCAAGTGGCTATAACGGTGACCCAAATTACCACGTCAAGCCTCTAAATGTACAGAGACAGGAAGCTAAAATTGGCCATGTCAAGATAAGGATGTGACCCCCACACTGGATTTGTCTGTCTACCACAAGTGATAAAACCCTGCAGCCACAACGGCATACTTTCAATTTCTCCAGCCAAGAAGTGCAGTCTGTTTGATTTGTTTTTGCGAGTCATTCAGGCAAAGACACTAACAGCCAGTATAAATACCTTGCTATTAAAAAGTTCACTCACCTCCTGATCAGTCTTTGAGAATTCATCAGCACCTTGTTTGTTGAGAGCCATGATGACACCGATGGGTTCCTTTCCACTCATGACAGGAGCGGTAATCATGCATTTGGTGGTATATTTGGTTTGTTTATCCACAAAGTCACTGAAATGACGGTCCTGAAAATAATGAGAATGGTTAAAGGTTGTGTGCTAATACACTGACTGCAAGATGAATGTAAAAGAACGCGTCCATTGCAGATCTATTTGTGCATGCCGTTATGGTACTAAGCTACGAATCTGCACGAGTAATGAGACAAGCTGACGCACAAATGACTATTAAAGCTGACTGTAATTAATGTTCTTTATTCTCCATGCAGTTTAATAAGTCATTAAGGTTTGTGCTGTTGAAAAGAGTGTGATAATGGCTTAAATGTCCTGAATTATGCATACATGTTCATCAATACATGATTCATTAGTTGCCACTGAACTGCACTGTATCTCTCCAAAGATAACAAACTAGTCTTTATGGTTTAATAAAACACAATTACAAGATTAAGTCACTCCATGTTCTCAGATGTTGCATTTGTCATACAGCCTGGTTTGGCCTATTTGTTCCACAAAGCACAATTAGTTTCACCATATTCTTTGATCTATTTGTCTTGTAAGTTTATTTCTAAATTTAGAGTTCAGTTATCATGTTTGTCATGAGCTCACCTTCTTAACATCAGGAATATTCTGAGGCTTCTTGGAATGGGCCGTCCATCCAACAATTCCCATGTCGGTGGGAAAAACTATCTCCACATTGGGGTTCACTATATTTCTATCGAATGGAGAATTGTGGGTCACATCGAAGAGGATCGTGGACAGCTCAGGCACTCCGTTACGAGCCCTGTAGCCAAAGTAGCTGCAGCGATCAGCCTGGACCAGCAGAGCCATCCTCTGGAGAATTTTATGCAGAGCTTTTTCCATCGGGTTGTTGCCCTGCATCTCCTTTATGAGCTCAAATATGAACTCGGCCTCCTGGATGGTGGATACATCCCTGTAAGATGCTGGGTCTTTGACCTGGACCTGGTTGTTGAAGGCAGCAGTGATCACATCTGCCTTGATTTTCTTATCATAGTACTCCTTAGCAAACTGTGGGTTGTTGTCAAGAAACTTCTCTACAGTGTCTTTGTCTGCCATGTTGTCCAAGTTTGGATAAACAATCCCTTCTGTAGCTGCACTAAGCTACAGACAGGTGCAGCTGGACGGAGGAAGAGCAGAGCAGTAAAGGTGGCAGCGTAAATCCTACTGAGACATTTCCCAAACTCTTCTGTGGACACAGGGCCAAAGCTGCTGTACCAATCTTCTCTCTGGTAACAGAAGAGAGTGAGTGGCTTACTGGGTAAGGGGATCCCAGGGGACACTAATGACCGTGACGCAAGAGTCATAAAACCCCTGAGCTTTCTTATCTTGTAAATCCAGCCACTTGTCATTTTAGTGGGGCCAATCCCAGCTGAGTTATGGCACCTACAGTATGACCTGATCAAATGCTAATATCACTGCCTTGTTTCTTCTGCAAAATACCGTTGATTCATGTTAAAAATTATGGAACGATTTTGCCAGGATAAGGATAATACCAGAACAATAATACCAGGCAAAGGAGGTCAGAGGAGCCATTGACCGCCTGATAAAAGCTGTGTTTAAGTCTCTTGTGGTTTCTGAGAAGCTTTGTATGAGAGACTGTGATTCATGTAATAATATAGCACCGCCTTGCAAGCTGAAATAACTGCACCATAGCCGGTCAGTTCAGAATACGCCAGCAGTACTAGTCAGTTTTCATGGATTCATCTACAGGCACCTCTCTAGAAAGAAATGCTTATCTCACAGGCCTAGATGTCCTGGGCCACTTCTGAGTGAAAAGCGCTGTGAGATAACTGTTGTTGTGATTTGGCGCTATATAAATAAAATTGAATTGAACTTGCTCTCCTGATATACTTAAGAATCAAAACACTACTCAACATAGTATTTTTTTAATGGAACAGATTATTAAAAAATAACTAAAGACTGTAATAATAATAACAACTTGTGCTGTATTACTGCAACCCACATTTATTATTTGTCATTTCAAAGTAAGATACATTGTTGTAGATGGAAAAGAAATGGCAAAATAGCATGGATGTATTATAAAATAAACCTTTACAGTGTTTGCTCTTTCAGAGGTATTCTTAAAATAAGTGTTAAAGGAATTATTACTTTTGAGTGTAATGTGTCAGCTCTTGAGAGCAGCAAACAATCAAATATTGTATCTTCCATGAAAGGTATATGTTGTCAAATGTGTGGACAAACGTGCTGATGCTTTATGCAAGTTTTAGTCTTCAATGTGACAAAACAATCATGATAATTATGGCTGTTTTGCTTGTGTTTGACCACTGCCACAAGCTCCTTCTGTCAGCGGTGCTACAACAGAGCCACAGCAGAGCCTGCGCCAGCCGTTCTTGAACTGGCAGAGCGAGTAGAGGATGGGATTGAGGGCCGAGTTGGCCATTGTGAACGTTACCACCCAGAAGAACATGGTAGAGGAGACACATAGGTTACCAAGGAAGTTCCTGGCCAGGATGAGGAAGGTAATGATGAAAATTGGGCTCCACATGATTAAGAAAGAGAGCATTAGGACCAGAAGAGTACGGAAGAGCTTCATATCCTGGCGGGAGATGTGATATTCAAGACAGTCCCCAACTGGGGGCTGTCTGTTTCTGGGTCGAAGCCTTTGCCTACAACTTTTAGCTATCTGCAATAAAAATAAAATAATCATACCGGCAATCTGTACTTTGTGATATTATATGATGTGGACAAAAGAGAAACAACGAAACCATCTAAGTAACCTTATTGATCTACATATAGAACTAGACATGGAGCATGATGTCCTCTGTGTTTGTCACCAATGTGTCTCAAACATCCATAAAGTCACCCCAGAGCTAAAATCAATGTGTGGCTTCTCAGAATCATGTTCTATTGTCTGTATCGCTTTAATGTACACAGGTAGATAGAACCAGTTGTCCAATGTAATATTGACCATTGATAGTGCAAGACTCTGAACCCACACACACACACAGGTAACCTTTTCAGCTTCATAATTAATAGATCACACACATCTCTGTCCTCACAATGATAGAGATGAGAAGGACACAGACAGTACAAATAAAAGTGTCAATATATCCATAAATGAATGGGCATGAGTTGGCATTATTTGTTGAATAAATACACACAATTTTCCAATTCAAGGGAAAATGCTTCTTCAATGAACAATCGTTATAAAAAAAGAGGGGCAAAAAAGTACAAAATGCCCCCAAAAAATGGGGCCAAAATGATGAGAAATGCAAATATCTTAAAGGATATGGCTGGCGATATTCTAAATCATTCTTACTGTCAACAAATCCCATTAAAAGACCAAAACCAGTTCTCAAGTATATTCTGTGTATCCACAGCCTGATATAGTTCGTTCTGTGACATACTCTTGTCCAAAAACCTCAATGGGCCACATCATTGCACTGGGTGACATGTAAGTTTATCACCATCAACCTGGACACTGTAGTTTATTTTTAGTCAAGTCTCACATGCTGCTCTAAATACGGTACTTACTGGAGCCTGAAATGTGTATAAATCTGCTGCTGAAAATAGTCCCCAACAAATACAGTATTTATGCTTGTATGAGTAAAAAAATTTAGGAGATTATTTTTTTTATAAATCATACTATATGTGACCCATTTTTAAAGATTTACGTCATCAGTAGGAATGGATGGGCTTTTGCCTGAATGCCACAGACAGAGAAGGAAGTTTGTTAATGGACTAACGCATTGTTAGCTTTGGTCTTTTAGTTTTTTTTTAACAATAAGAAAAATACAGAAAAACACCAGCCTTATCTTTTAGAAGTTTCTCTAGGATCCTCTTAAAACAGTCCCGTCCTTCACTCTCTGACATGTGTGCCAGTCAAAGAGCACAATACACCCACCTGTAATATTTTGCTGTAACTGACCACTATTATTAATCCTGGGAGAAGGAAGCACAGGGCAGTGAAGGCCACATTCCACACAATCTCTCCAGTTGTGTCAGGCCACTTGAGAGTACAAATGTGTACACGGCTCTGGGGAAAATAAACAAAAATACACAGAAAGAAATACATTAATGGCAGAGACACTGAGATATCTTTTCATCTATCAATCCATCCATCCATACCTGCTCTGGGAAATCCACTTCCATCACAGTGAAGAACAGACTGAGGGGTATGGAGGTGAGTGCAGAAAAGGCCCAGATGAAGAAGAGGGTGGCAGTCACCATCCTGGGGTTTAAAGTGGGCACAGCCTGCAGCCGAAGGATTGCCTGGACCCTCTCCACACTGATGGAGGCCAGGGTAGTGATGGTGACACAGCCGCTCATACAGATGACATACAGCACAGTGTGACAGGCCGAAAACCCCAGCGTCCAGGACACAGTCCACCGCACTGACACAATCAGTGGGATCATGCTGACAAACAGCAGGTCGGCCACAAACAAGTTGAGGGTCAGGATGGTCTTGTTGGCCAGCAGTCTGCGTTCCCACGTTACCAGGGCTGCAGCTCCTGCATTTGCTGCCACGGACACCAGGAAGACAAAGGTGATAGCCAGGGTCTCGACAATAGCAGTGGCAACATGATCTGACTGCTGCAGCTCGGAGAAGAAGGAAAAATAAGTGAAGTTTCTTAAGTGGAGTAAGTGAGCTTGAGCGTTAATATCCATATAGACTGAAAAAGGTAATGCTTACTGATTTCACTCCTGGAGACTGCCAGGAATATGAATGGGAGAAAGGTGTTGATAAGGCCTAAAGTGATACCAGAGAAGGGGAGGAGGAGGGATGGAGGGTGGTGACTAACCTTTATGATTGCTCGAGCTGCTAACTGAGGGGGAGTCAAATATTACAAGGTGTTCTGTGTGCTTTTGTCTTCCACTGTGCGGTTAAACATCATTTTATTTTGTGCAACCTCATTGTCACAATTCTTTCGCAAACTCGTTTTCATAATTTATTTTGCGCTTTTCCAACAATATCAAAGGCAGCAAGACTTGCACACTGTGGATCACCTCTCTACTGATATCATTAAATTAAATTAAAAGTCACTTAAGATTGCTGTTGAGTGGGATCGACACAACTTCCCAGTGGGTTAATTCAGTTTCTAATGTTCAATCAATGCAACTGTTGAAGTGTTAATGCTGTGTAAATTGCAAATTAGCTGCTGTAATTAGTCTGACACCACTTTTATTTATGCTGTGAATTAGATTACCATGTTTACTTCATGGTAATCTAGTAGTGATCCAGTAACTGATCACTGGCTACTGAAAATAGGCTTTCCATCTCGTGCAAACCCTCCAGGGATAGGTTTAAAAATGTTCAGGAAGAGGAAGAGATTTACCCAAGAAATCTTTGTTTACAAATTATCAAACACGTCCTCTTTCTGTTAAAATATTTTTGTGATGCTGGTGTTTGGAGAAACTTCCGCTTGGCTATCCCCCTGCCTCTCAGACAGGCAAAGCTCATTTTCTAACTTTACATGAAGATGTTTCCGTATGAAAGGTTCCTGAAATCACAGCAAGTAAGGAGGTGTCTCAAGCATATTAGCATCTTTTTCTAAAGCTGTTAGCTAGCAATACTATAATCCATGCCTCTAAATAGCCCAGAAAAGGATTAACTTCCACAAGCTGTTTTGAGTTATTGATCTGGTTTGAGCAACGTGAGACCTGGGAGGAGTTCAAAGACCTACATCAGTATCATACAAAAGGTTTCATTTAATCTTTAGCTTACAACAACCTAGCCTACACTGTAAAAAAAAATCTGTACTTTAAAGGTTTTATTCCTTTTTATTTCACAGATTTTTCCTGTATTTTTGAAATACATGAAAATATCAAAAAATTACAAAAATAAACTGTGAATTTACATGTCTAATGTAAAATAACATGAAAAACCTGTAGCAGTGAATAATCATAACATTTCTGTTATCTTAAGGAAACTTTTGGGGTTTTTCACGTAAACAAACTGTTCCAATACATTCAGGAATTTCCCGTATTTTCACAAATATTATTTTTCTTATTTAAAAGAAAAAAGGGTTCAATTTAAGTTTAATAATGTAAAAACATTTCTTAAACTTGGTACAGTTAGTAACAGTTAACCGTAACAAAAAACATTTGTTCTGTAACTTGAAATAGATTTTCTTGTTAATTGACAAATATCTCCTTTAATTATGGATATTTGGAAAATACTTAATTACAGTAATTTCACAGCTTTTGACTTTTATTATAATTCTTAGATTACAAGTTAGATTAAATAGTATATAATTGCCCCAAAGTGGTAAAATTACAGAAAGGTAATATTTAATTTATTGTTAAATGACACCTTTTAATAGGGTTAAAAAAGAAAACTTCCTGTAAAATTACGGGTTTGTGATGAAAAATTCATTTTAATGCCATTTAACAGATACTTCGACTGAAGAGTCTTAGCTATAGGTGTATAATCAAAACCTAAAACAAACATATTTAAATACTGTTTTTTCATAATTAAAAATTACCAAATGTTCACATTTTACATTAGAGTAATACATATCCATTTATCCTATAATAGAGATCAGAAACCCATTTTGAGTTATCTTGTACTAGGGTTATATGTGACAGTTTCAGACTTCCTTAAATTTGCTTAATTTGAGGAAACTCAGACATTTACATTTATTCATTACAATTGAGGTCGCACACCTCTGGAGCAACTAGGGGTGAAGTGTCTTGCTCAGGGACACAATGGTTATAGGTGTGGGGGAATTGAACCCGGGTCTCTCACACCAAAGGCATGTGTCTTATCCACTGCACCACCCCGCAGACCTTTTAAAGTACCACCACAAAACAAAATTTCCACATCTGATACTATTTATAGACCATTTATTCAGTTCCATGCTCACAACAAATAAGCCACACAAGTCAAACATTTCAGTGTAAAGAATTGTTCTCCTGAAACAAAAGTAGTTTAGTTTATATTTACCTTATTGAAGACATTTTCAGATCTATTCATTAGAAACCCAATTTGGTCAACATAAAGAATATTTTGGATACTGTTAGACACAGCTCCAAGTGCAATCTGAATGTAAAGTAATTGGAAAATATTTCTTAAAATGCTGGCATTTTGCTTTGATAGGACTGTACAGAGACATGAAAGGCAAAGGAGAGGGGGAAATGGTGGTTTTACATACAGTGAACTTAATGCACAATCCAAAGACTTCTTCCTTGGTTTCAATATGATATTTTATGACTTTCTAAAGCCAGTTTTTGTATCTGGTAAATGTTGTTACGGCTGTATGTGTTTCTCTGTGCTGTTCATCCTTGTTCCTTTTCTGTCCTCTAGTTCTGCCCCAGGAGTGCTACAGCTGATTGCTGAATTAGGTCCACCTGGCCTTGCAAGGCAGTGCACAGCTGTGTGCACGGGAGTTGGAGAAGTCCAAAATTTCTAAATTAGGTTGGTAGACAAAAAAGATGCAAATATATGCAAGTAGAAAGAATGTGAAGTTTTTCTTGGCAGTCTAGTGAATCCATTTGTTTGCAAGTTTTTGGTATCCAACCAAAAGTACATTTTCAGATTCGACTGACTTTGCACAACATCACCTCTGGATGACCTAAAGAAACCACTTGGATTCTTAGCTCAATTGGAAAACATAAACAACGGCAAACAAAATCAACAGTCTATCTATCCAAGGTCTGCAAGACATTAAGTAAGTTTCCCTTTATAATTGGTATGGTGACTAAATTCTGGAGATGTGTTAAGCAATACCCCTCTCCACAGAACTGGGGAAGAATTCAAGTCTGGTGGCTACATGGCTGCAAAAATGACAGAGCAGATAACCACTCCCCCTCCACCACCAGCTCTTCCATGAAGTATGAGCAAGAAGCAAAAGGCAGATGATCTACACTAGCTTGTCATTCCTTACATCCAAAAAGCTTGACAGCGTTTGATTTACAATATAACTGCACTGATAAATAGGGCTGTGTGATCTGACGGTATACACTATATTGCCAAAAGTAGTGGGACACCCCTTCGGAATCATTGAATTCAGATGTTCCAATCACTTCCATGGCCACAGGTGTATAAAATCAAGCACCTAGGCATGTGGACTGCTTCTACAAACATTTGTGAAAAAATGGGTGGCTCTCAGCTCAGTGAATTCAAGCTTGGTACCTGTGCAATAAGTCCATTTGTGAAATTTCCTTACTACTAAATATTCCAAGGTCAACTGTTAGTGGTATTATGACTAAGTGGAAGCAATTTGGCCCTGCGATGGACTGGCGACCTGTCCAGTGTGTACCCCGCCTTTCGCCCAATGTCAGCTGGGATTGGCTCCAACCCCTCGCGACCCTGTACGCAGGATAAGCGGTTGACGATGGATGGATGGATGGATGGAAGCGATTTGGAACAACAGAAACTCAGCCTTGAAGTGGTAGGCCACATAAAATCACAAAGTGTGGTCAGCACATCTGCAGAAGCTGTCAACTTTCTTCAGAGTCCAGAGCTACAGACCTCCAAATGTCATGTGGCCTTCAGATTAGCTCTAGAACAGTGAGTAGAGAGCTTCATGGAATGGGTTTCCATGGCTGAGCAGCTGCATCCAAGCCTTACATCACCAAGTGCAATGCAAAGCGTCGGATACATGGTGAAAAGCATGCCGCCACTAAACACTAGTGCAGTGAAGACGTGTTCTCTGGAGTGACAAATCACGCTGTCTGGCAATCTGATGGATAAGTCTGGGTTTGGCGGTTGCCAAGAGAATGGTACTGGCCTGACTGCATTGTGCCAAGTGTGTAAAGTTTGATGTGGGGGTGTTTTTTCAGGGGTTGGGCTTGGCCCCTTAGTTCCAGTGAAAGGAACTGTTAATGCTTCAGCATACCAAAACATTTTGGACAATTTCATGCTCCCAACTTTGTGGAAACAGTTTGGGAATGGCCACTTCCTGTTCCAACATGACTGCGCAACAGTGCACAAAGCAAGGTCCAGAAAGACATGGATGAGCGAGTTTGGTGTGGAGAAGTTGACCTGGTCTGCACAGTCCTGACCCCAACCCGATAGAACACCTTTGGGAGGAATTAGAGCGGAGACTGCGAGCCAGGCCTTCTCATCCAACATCGATCCCTGACCTCACAAATGCGCTTGTAGAAGAATGGTCCAAAAGTCCAATGAACGAACACACACAGCTGATGACCAGTTTTAGAACAGTATTTTTGACGTTTCTTTTAAAAGGAAAATCTAGTATTTTCGGGTGTTGTACAACATTTTTATGTGAAATTATATAATAAAACTCAATTAAAAGCAGCACTCTACTATAAATTTTAAGCCTGATTATTTGTATTATAGTAGTGTTCAACTATATTTAAAGGTAATTTAATTTTTTTTTACAGGTGTATATGTTCTTAATTAAACAATAAAAGCCAATACAGTTACAGACTGTATTGTACCAAAGTCTGTATGCCAAATTTAATTGCAATCCATCCAACAGCTGAGACATTTCCCTCTGAACCTAAAATGTCAGCCTTATGGAGCCACTGGAGCAAATGTCAGGATCACCTAAAAAGTCATTATGTTGAGCCAATACGTGTGTACTGCCAATCTACTAGATGTTGACCTTTTTCTCTGGATAAGTGAAACATTTGACCTCCTGGTGCTGTTAAGAGGAAAAGTCAGATGAACACGAAAGTCAAGCCTCCAGGGACCTGCAAAGCTGCACAGACAGCCAGCCATCCATCCATCCATCCATCCATCCATCCATCCATCCATCCATCGTCAACCGCTTATCCTGCATACAGGGTCGCGGGGGGGCTGGAGCCAATCCCAGCTGACATTGGACGCAAGGCGGGGTGCACCCTGGACAGGTCGCCAGTCCATCGCAGGGCCACACATAGACGAACAACCACTCACGCCCACACTCACACCTAAGGCCAACTTAGGGTCACCAATTAACCTAGACTGCATGTCTTTGGATGGTGGGAGGAAGCCGGAGTACCCGGAGAGAACCCACGCAGACACGGGGAGAACATGCAAACTCCACACAGAAAGGCCGGGGCAACCGGGGTTTGAACCCACGAACTTCTTGCTGTGAGGCGACAGTGCTAACCACCGCAGCTTGGCTAAAAATCTGCTAACCAAAGCTTGTGTTCCTTTTAAATACTCAGAAACACAACAGCAACTCAACACTGTTTATTAAAATAACTTGTACGACTGGTTACACAGGTAAAACCCAATCTATATTACAGAAGATCCAGAAGTGAAGAAGTTCTCAGTTCAGCTCAGTCTAGACAGATTTCTAGGTGGTTCATCAGTTCTCGGTAGTGACTGGCAGGATACTCGGCCCGGCAGCTGGGACACTCCAGGAAGCTTTCATTTACCAAGCTGCTGTGAGGGGAGTATGTAAAGCTATCTCTGGAGGGCAGGTAGGGTGGGTGTGCCGCTTCACCTGTGCTTTGATCCCGCTGGTCTCTCTAATATAAACACAGTCATCCATTAGTTATAGTTAAAAAGATTAAGTCAGCTTTTCAAGTAGTTCTATCATTTTTGTCCAACAAAACAAAGCTGCACTAATCAATATTTTTAATATTAACAATGTATCAAATTGCTATATGTAATGTCACTCATAGTGAAACAGCCACAGAAAATTATCACCTAACTCTGCAATTTCTCTGACATCTATTGAGCCTTTTAGTTTGTCCACAACGTACTCTTATCAACCTCGTTTCCAGGGCCAAAAGGGAAGTGAATATTGGACTTAAAGTTGTCATGTGACCTGAGACATGACTCCAAATAAATGCTAACATTGCTCTCTAGCTTCTGGATAAGTAAACAGGCTATTGAGTGCAATAACAATATGTCAATGTTGTGTTTTTAGGTTGTTACCGCCCCATGCCCAAATAAATGTCTTAATACAGCTTTAAGGTTCATCACCGATGATTTGGGATATACTAATTAGTAATCTAGCCCTTTGCACTATTCATGCCAACCTTTGACTGTTTTGTCGTGTGGTCTTTAGTTTTTTGCAGCATCTTCAGAACTCTGACCATTTGCTTCTTTAAATATGAACAATCCTGCCTCTCATCCTCAAGGTCGTGTGAAGAAATCTTGATCTAAAATTTAAAAAGTTTGTATTACAATGGATGGAGGATATAAGATAGCATAGGTGTGGGAATAAAATTTTTCAAATATAATAAATAATCTCATTTGCTTCTGTGAGGACTGATAAGTAAGTAAAGCAAAGAGGTAAGAAAGTATGAAATGCCCACTTCTGTGGATGAGTCAGGTTTACAAGCAGAAAGGAGCAGACTGACGGACACAGGCCGTTGATCCTCCTCAATGTATAATAAATCTGTGTCATTATTAAGATTGGTTTGCTACATTCTACAATTTCTAGTTAATACTAAGGATTTATTCAAGGAGGGGGGATACTGGTACAAAGTGAATGTGTCATACCTGTCGCTCAAGATCTGCAATCTTTTTCTGGTCTGCATGGTGACGATTTAACATAAACTTCTGAAAGACACTGGACTGAGACGAGAGAGTTTATTGTTATTATTATTATTATGCATTATTGCATATTTGGTGAATTTTTTATATGATGACAGTACGATTTCCTTTTTTTCCTACTGACTGAATGAATAGTTTAATGAAGACATACCTGCAGCTCAAAGTTTGCCGACCTGCGCTTCTCCTCATCCAGTCTGCACTGGAGGTCTTTGGTCTCATCCCTCAGCCATTGCTCTTCATCCTCAGAGTAACGATGATCTTCCGGTGCACTTTTTCTGCTCATTTTTTCGGTCTGCAGCTGCTGCTTGAGCTCCTCCACCTCACTCTCCCTTTCGTCGCACCTAAACAATAAACTGGTCTGTCACGTAGCTGACTATCATTCTAACCTTCTCCAACTTTGAGCAGAACATTTATTGTTTTAACAGTAGACACACCACTTTTGGGTTATTATCAGGTTCTGCTGGGTCACATCGACCTGCTCCCTGAGCACCTCCAGCTCGTCTTTGGCTTTCTGTAAGAGTCTTTCATAGTGCTCCTGAATCCGCTTTAATTGCTCCTTCTCTGTAATGAGGGAAGCAGATGAGGAGGAATTTACACATAGACGTACATAATCAAAGAAGTTAGATACAGCCCATGTAGTAATAAAACACCAGATTTTGACAATGCATTTCATGCTGCAGACTCTGTAATACTGGGCTACTCCAGGGCAATTTCGATATCTTGAAAACCTTGTTGTGACAGTCTTTTGCCCCTTGTTGCCTCAGTTGTGAGTGCCCACTACCCACTGCCCCTCTGACTCACCATCTGAATGGTCCTCATTGTGCTGCTGTGAGCGGGCCTGACTGGCTTCGTTCAGCTGCTTCTCCAGCCATAACATTCTGGCCATAATTGCCCTCACATAGGCCTCTCTCTGCTGGTCATATTCCAGCCACTGCTTGTTCTTCTCCAAGGCCTCGGGGGATTGAATAAAAGAATGAGAGACACATAACAACAGAAAGACAGAAAGAGAGTTGTGCCATGAGGATGGACTCAGTCAGGCATGTGTACAGTCCACAGGCACACATCCTCACTTCAAAACAAATGCACACACAGAAAGTTGAAAGTAATGTAAAAAATACAAAAAGGTGGATTAGGCATTCATTGAAATATACAAACAGAAGAGATGTTTTCCAGCTATGTGACAACCACACAGCACTTACATCACTGAGCTGATTTTGGAGCTCTATTTCGTTGTTGGTTGCAGCTGATTGGTCTGAAGCAGAGTCCTAACAGGAAAATACAGCACGGGCTTATACATGTGTGAATGACTTTACCCAACTCTCCCAACTGCTTTAACAAAAGCGATGTCATTGTGACATGTCAAGGTCCAAAACACAGGTACAGTAGGATTTAGCGCATTTAAAAAAAAAGTGTTGTGACCTCTACAATATCCTGTATGTCACTGTATGTCACTGATGGTATACTTTGCAGGAAAGTGGGCTTTTATGGAGAACAGCCTCCCTCCTCTCTAAGACTGGTAATTAAAAACCACTGCTGCCATCTAGTGGTGTAAAACTGGTAATCACTGAGAGGAACTTGGTAATTCAAACTCCCCAAGAAGCAACACTTACAGCCATAGGCCCTTTTTCACTGAAGACATTTTGACTTGTCACAGTAGGAAATGCCCAGGTTTAAGTAATAAAATTAACAATGGCTGAATATCTATCCATTTTTCAGGTTACAGTCAGGTTTTTCTGGCTCACTGGGACACTTTGAATATAACGGAGCGTTCGTTAATGTTATTAGAAACACCTGTGCTTTTACTACTATGACAAGTCAAAAGGTCTGGTGGGAAAATGGCCTATTATGTACTACCATTCTGCACAAATATTTATACAGTTAGCATCTAACAGCCCTGCTATACCTTCTTCCTTGCAACGTTGTTCGAGATATTGACACCTAGTGGCGACGCTCACAAGCTTGTTCTTGATTTCTCCAATCTCTCTGCAGTAACTGGATATGCTCCTCTTTTTCCTCATACTCACTACGTGCATCAGCGCCCCGTCTTTCTCACTCAGCTGCTCTGACGGCAAAGCTCTCTTCTCGTCTTTGGTCACCTGCTGACAGCTCTCAAGCCTGACAGTTTGATGAGAGAGGAATCTCTGCGAAAAAGACACTGAGAGAAATAAGTTGGTTCACTAAACTGAAATAGTGAATAAAAAACAAACAAACAAACACTGGCAACATCATTAGGTGGAGTTAATGGTACAGTGTAAGTAACCTTGGTTAGTTGACTTATGTTGGTAAATACCAGGGAAACAACACTGATTGACTGAAAAGTTTACCTCCACAAGCTTATAATGTTCTGAATGTTGACGAGACAACTCAACCAGTGTCTTCTTCAGATAGGCATTCTCCTTCTTCAGACTGCTGACAACTATCTCAAGCTCTGATTTGAGCTTTGTCCTCAGGAAACCCTTATATTTGAGGGACACCATCTCAATCTTCTGTTGACAAATATTACAAGCGACTGACACAAAAATAATACATTTTTGGATTTGGTCAGAATATACAATTTCAAAAATAAACATTCTGAATGGGTCCAAGTTGATTTCCATTTAGTTGATGACAATGACAAAAGCAGCAACAGGAAAAACTGAACTGGACCCAAGCTCGTTTTCTAAGCAATTCAGTAGAGAAAGAAAAATAAAACCTTTTACAAATAGATTTTCAATATTATGCAATGCAAATCAACAACTGTCATAATATTGAATTTCTGTTGACTCTGTGTCAAAGAGATGCTGATTCAAAACTGGATATTTGTAATTTAATTTAATACTAAACCAAACATTAGAAACGCTATAATACAGCCACTGGCTGACTATGGCCTTGTATTATATTGGGTTGAATCAAAACCTGGAGCAGCCTTAAAGAGCCACTGTTTAATTTTGTAGCCTTTAAGCCAACATGGCCCAATGCTAAGAAATAATGGAAACATCTAAGTTACTTCTCTAGGACAACTGGGCAAACCAAATCTGCTGGTGAAAATCATGTGATCTGATTGAAAGCTCCAAAACAGATGAAACAGTAAATGGACCTAGCAAATGTAAATGTTTGGTATTTTTACCTTTTAAGTTACTTAATTTAAAACATTTTCTATTTATTGGCTGATGATAACTAATATCACATCCACACTCACTTGTTCCAAGGACGAGTGTTTAAACTGGATATTGTATGCTGGACTTACAAAGCTAACTTAAAAAACAGCTAGCAAGTTAGCTAACGTCAACTTATCCAACAAAAACAACTATTTTCAATCTTGTCAAAGATTGCATAACATTAACTTAGTTAGTTAGGCAACTAACTTTACCCTGTGTTAGCTGGAATAAAAAAGTTACCTCAAAATTAACGTTACAGCACAGCCTTGTTCTTGATTTCTTGAAGAACAAGGCTGTGCTATGTTAGCTAGCATCACGTGCTGAAAAAGTATAAAGTTATTACTTCTACTCTAGTGAAATATGACTTTCCATGTCTGAATTGACTTTAAAATGAACACTTGTCTTTTAAAATGACAGTTTCACCAAGTCCACTGTAATAACTTCCTCATATTTACTGAGCATTACCTGGGGAGGGAGGGTAACTTGACAGAAGGAATGTTACTGTGTGGCCCTGCGATGGACTGGCGACCTGTCCAGGATGTACCCCGCCTTGCGCCCAATGTCAGCTGGGATTGGCTCCAGCCCCCCCGCGACCCTGTACGCAGGATAAGCGGTTGACGATGGATGGATGGATGTTACTGTGCTGCCTTTAATACCCGCAAAACATTAGCTTAACAGCCAGATCAGTTCCATGCGAAAATATAAAAAATATCAATAGTGTCCCTGGTAGACCGTTTATGTGACTTAATAATATGTGTTTTGATATCTTGTCAAGGTATGTGGCTAAGGCTTAGTTAACTGAAAACAATTGCTGTAAAATAGCATATGTTGTTACTGTGCAGCTAACATCTAGGTTTGATTAATTTGTAATTTCCGACAGCCTGGAAAGGAGGCATTACTTAACGCTACATCACCACTGGGGGGCGCTGCAGTACAAGAAAAACAGTGGATCGACTCCACTTTTTACCTGTATGAGGAATGAATCAAGTCATGTTTCTGCACAGGTATGTCAAGCAAAATTGAGCCAAAATATGAAGCATTTTGAAAAGGTAATGAGTAAGCTATAGATGTCACTTTTATGTCTCTGTCTGCTGGTAACCCACCTCACCCAGGCTGGTTTGTGGCTTGCCTCTGACTCATGAGTAAGGCCGCCCCCCCTCCCCCATATCCACTACAGTGTGCTCCACATCTGTGCTTTTCAGTTCCGTCTGTGTGGGCTCCCTTGCTCTCTCAACGGAATATGATATCTGAATAATTTTGGACATCAAAATGCTGCGGGTCGTCGTTGAGTCCGCAAGTGGGATCCCCAAAAAGAAAATTGGAAACCCAGATCCAATAGTTGCGGTTGTCTTTAGAGGTGAGAGAAATTCACAATGACTTTTTGTCACTGGATAGCCTACATGCTGTATGCTCCGTTAACTTTTTTTGATTGATCATACAGGGAATATTTCAGTGTTTCATATTTCCTGTCATCCTTAAGGTTTTGGACATTTGCAGTTAAATGTAGTAGCTGTTTAGCCTACAGAATGCGTCTATTACTAGAGCTTAATTTGAATATTTGGAAGAAGTGCAACCTTATAAGGTCAGAAAAGAACTTTTTTGGCCAAAAGGCTCTTCTTTATATCCAAATTAGATGCCTCAAGTTCCCTGCAGATTATGCTGATGCAGTCATTTATTGGTTGGAAGAAGTGTTTTTGTCCAGTGTTGCACATAAATATGCCTCTTTTTTTTATTGTGTTTATAGGTGAAAAGAAGAAAACCAAAGCAATTGACAATGAATTGAATCCTGTTTGGAATGAAGTAAGTAGGGAAGCTGTAAAGTGTGAGAGTTACAGGATGTGGATCTGTTCATTGGGAAATAATTACTCACTAGAAAGCTGGGTTCAACCTATGGTTCAACCATGTAGAGTACATTGTGTGTTTGTTTTGAAAACATTGTTACTCTTATCACCTCAGTTACAGTATGTTGGTGACTGAAACCTTCTCTTTCTTTCTTTCCAGGTGCTTGAATTTGATCTGAAAGACTCTTCCTTGGATGCATCTTCATTCATCAACGTGGTTGTTAAAGACTATGAAACAATCGGCAAAGACAAGTATGTATAAGGAAGCACCAGGCAGATGTATTGTTGTATTTGCAGGCCATATAACCCTCAGCCTTCCGCCCAGCATGACAAATTTATGATCATAAACACACTTGTTGAGGGTCTGTGAGTGAAAACCATGAAAGGAAAAACCTCACTGCACTGTGCAAAAGGTTTTACTTTTGAGAATAGAGTGATTATAAACTTTGAAAGTGCCTGTTTCTTAGCAGTTGTACTACAACTGTGTGGTTGAAAATACCTATTATGATCTTTTCCTGAGAGAGCAGAGTAGCATGTTTTAACTTCACTGAGCTGTTAAACCACAGGACTCACTGCATCCATGTTAAGACTTGCAGTGCTAGTGAAGACGGTGTAATGTCTCCCTCACAATAGCGCTCCAGCTCATAGGAATGTTGCCTTAAAAGGAAAAAAGACCTCTTCACTTATTTTTAACCTTCCCTACTGTAGATTAGAATTTTCATCTATTTCTCTGCTTAATTTATGTTTTATCTATTTGTTTTGTTTATGCATTTTGTAACATTGTGAGTCAGCCTCCTTTTTTTGCGCAAGAAGGTAGACCAAATAACATTTCCACTGAGTCACTTGAGTGAAGTGACCGATTGTGCACAATATAAATCCAGAGGCAGGCACAAGGGGTGGGGTGAAGGGATATTTGCCTCACCCACAAAAGGACCTTTTTTGATTGTAAAACACATGAGGAGGGTGAATAACAGAGCTTGTGCTGGCTTGTCATCGGCACATCTGTGATGACTATTTGTAGCTCAACCTGTAATTCTATAATAATAAAAAAATAATAACGCGGATTCTGGAAGAAAATCTAAGTGTTAAGTCCTGCCTGCATGATTGAACATGCAGCGCAACTCTCACTCATGTCTACAATCTAGGAAAATCTAGAAAAGGAATGTGACTCCGAGAGTTAACACGGATATCTAATCTGTGGTACTATCAAGATAAACCATCTCTAATGGCTAAACTGGCTCAGTTTGTTTTTACTCCTGAATTAGCTTTGTTTAAAAGTAATATATAAGTAGTGGAAATATGTCAGAATGCCAGGAAACTCCTGTCATTCTTACCTCATCTGGCTCTTTCACTGTGTGGACCAGTTCCACTTGACTTGAAGTTTTGTTTTCTAGTTTCATAGGAGACTCATGTATACAAACACAAGCGTTATTCTGTATAAATTTAGCATGTGGCCTCCGCAGCGGTAGAGACAGTAAACTGTCATACCAGATTTCTTCTCCGTCTTATCCTCCACAGCTGGCCCTGCTTTACAAGGACAACTCAGATTTTTCTTTTACTCTTTGTAATGATAATCAATGGCACAACTTGTTGAGAACAAGGGAGAAGGTAAACTGAGCGTGCTCATAGTCATGAATGTGAGTTTGCCTGTTCTCATGTTGCTTACTTAAGACTGCCTTGTCACCCGCCTCCTTGGCTCTATATTTGTCTACCCTTAAACTGGGCACAGCGCACCCGGCACATGCCTGTGGTAGATGTTAAGTGTTTCCATCTCTTTTCTTTTTTCTTGTGCACTTCTTCATCATTTTAGGGGCTGGCCTATGTAACCAGCTGGTCTTTGTCACACAGCAGAGTATCCCATTTGTTCTGTTGAAAGATGATTCAGCTGCTCACAAAAAGCTTTTTTTTGCCAAAAATAGCCAGGCAAAGTGGATGTTTGATATTAGGAAACTGTCCCTTAGATACAGTATGTTTTTTTATGCTTTTTTTTCAGGTATGTTGTGAATATGAATTGAATTGAATTACAGTACGGATGGTAATAAGAGGTCAAGAAGCTATTTGGCCTTATGGCATCCATCTGTAACCATAATTAATAAATTCAAATTTTGATCAAGTTGGTTTTGGGAGGATTTTAGAAAATGCCTAATGTGTTGCAATCCATTGTGGTTATTAATCACTGTTACTATATGACTTCTGTTTTGGGGAAAAGCAACAATGTAGGTGTTGTTGCTCGGCTTGTCATAATACAGTATATTTGTGAAGAAGTGAAATAGGGAAGTGAAAACTCTCCAGAGCAACGAGCAATTACAGTCACAAATTGTGAAACCAAAGCATCAGCATCCTCTCGATTGTTTCTTGTAGCTATTCGTCTTTGTTGTATTTACATATATTGTTTCTCTCCAGCTGCAGCGATTTATTTGCTGATGTATGTCTGATTGTCTGACCAAAAGGCAATGTATGTTATTGCTTTTCAGGTTCATTGGTTCAGCAGTAATCTCTCTGAGAGACTTGGCCAGTGGTCAAGTGAGGTCCCTTCCATCCAAGAATGTGCCCTTGATCAATGAGAAACAACAGGCTATTGGGGTAAATATTTCACACTATAGTGAGGTTATCATTTTACCAGCAACAAGAAAGTGTTTCTACTGTTAAAAAATGAAAATGCCACAGGATAACTATAAATAATTTATTAGGACCAATAAAATACAACAGCATGAACATGCTGCCGAGCTAAAAGAAAAAAAACAGCCACTTAAAAAATAGTAAAATGTGATAAATAAAAAAACAGGTTAAAAAGGACAACTTTAAAAGACTGAAATAACTAAAATGTACAAAATAATTTCACGAGCCTAGACATTATCAGATTCCATACACCTCTGCAATTTTATGACACGGTGTATGAGCTAAGGCAACTTCTGCTCTCGCAGTGGATGATGGTACCTGTATGGGTCTGCAGGAAGTAGTTGAATTTTCGGGAGCCGATGACATAGCATTTGGTATTAGACGTATACAGTAGAACTGATAATGCTAATTGAGAAAACATTTACTTTTTATAGGCAACCATTAATTTGCTCATTGGGTATGAGCCACCTGCCAGCGCGACTCCAAACCTAAATGGTCAACCTGATGGTGACATGGCTCATGCGGATCCTGGTAAGTAGACAGTTCACCTAAGAAATTAAAAGGGATGCTAGTTTTGCTTTCTAACAAGGGAAAAATTTATTAAATTCATTGGGGGTTTTACCTATATTATATTGCATATGGAACGCTGTATAACAGCAGAATAACAACTCATCAAGAGGAATACTGTCGTCCAGCTAAGTGCAATTCACTTTTTGACTGCCATTATTGCTATTCATAGAACATTTTTAATTTTAAGAATCACAGTTTAATAATCAATTTTAACTGTTCAGGCTTGTGAGTTTTGATGTATCCCTTAATAGATATAAACAATAATAAACGAGTATATTCTGTCTGATTATTGTTGTTTCAAACACATTTAAAAAATATATATGTCCGCCATGTTGTTGGATGTTAGCAAATACATGACAAACTCCCAGGATGTAGGCTTTTCTCTAGTAATGGGGTGTTTACTGTCGGTTTTTGATACAACTCAAACTGACAAAAAGAATATTGGTTCAAAGAACGTTGTGATTATTGTGGTTTTGCACCACAGGGGTCAGTGATGAGGGTGATGAGGGTGATGCAGGTGTGGAT